ATTTATTTCCGCTTCTGCAGTTCGTCTCTTAATACGATAAGCTAGGCTGAGATCCTCACGGACGTATATTCCGGACCAAATCAGTTTACGTGAGTTACCTAGAATCAGGTTCCTTTCTTCAACCGTGGCAAATGTAACCGTCAAGAGGCGGTTTTTCTGAGGACATTCAGAATCCTCCTTTTGTCCTATTCTATAAGGCTTACGAATATTAACTCCTGAAACTGCATCTGGGAGTAGTTTGCTTATTAAAAACTTAGTATCACTGAGATCGTGATCAAATCTAGCCTTTGGTTCCTTATCGGTAGATTCTCTTAACTTATAAAAAATAAATGACGTCGCAGAGATACTTGTCTTAACATGCAGTGGAACTTTTTCCCGATACCGTGTTATCGGCACAACCGCCGTCGATTTTCCTAAAGGCCAAAGCCAATAGGCTCGTAGCCCTAACCCTAACCAAAGTACTTTTAGTTAAAGTAAACCAAGGATGTTTTTGGTGCAACAAGTACACAAAGCAAGTATAATCACGACAAGTACAAAAATCACTGCCTTTTTTGAAATGAGCGCCGAAGTATCCAATTTCAGATTTCCAGCTCAGATTTGAGTTCCGAAGACAAAAGACATATAGCTTATGTTAGTCCTTTCCTAGTAGATTTCTGAGTATTTTTAATTCTCTTGAATGTTCGAGTCGAAACTGCAGATAACACTTTATTGGGTAGCAAGTTCCACGAGTTAATGACTTGGTATGAAAATCTGTACGTCACATGTATTCAGTTTGTTTTATGCTTTTGTGCCAGACTGTCATGTTCTCTAAGACGTTTTGTTTCTGTGGTAGGAAAAAGAGATGATATATCAGGTTCAAAATAATCATCAAAATAAACCCTTTTGAAACCGTGTTATTCGTTGTTTAATCAGTTTTTGGTTCCCACAAATGTCGTTATGGTCTTTTTGATTATTCTCTTTACTATTTTAACTACGACACTGGTAAGACCAACAGTTGTGAAAGCTGAAGAAAGTTTTCACGATCCTACTTAGTAGAGTGACGACTGCATCCTCCCAGTTGATAGGTGACTCACCTTGGCCTAGTGACGTGTCGTATATCGTATTCCATAAGGTAGCCATATATTGTGCAAATTGTCTCAGTGTTTTTGGGTGTAGTTAGCCCGGTTCAGTAAAATTTTCTTCATTTCTATCGATCGATTTCTGGCACGATCAAGCGGACTGAGTACCTCAAGGTAATGTGTTTTAGACCAAAGCCGTTTTGAGCGTATTTCCCACCATCAGGTTTCTTTCGTTAGTGGGTTCACGGTATGATCTATATGCCATCTTTCCTTTGTAATTTCAAAATTCACTTCTACTGTCCTACGAAGCTCACAATTACCAACTTTTACTACAGTTTCCACGGGGTAGCGTGTTTATTAAGGACTTAATTTGGCTTAGGTATTGTTCGATCCTAACCTTTGATGTGATGCGTTGTATTGGGGATGAAGATGCCACAAGTATTTGAAGTTTGACAACACTTTGACCGGTAACACCCCATATAAATCGTACCCACCAAGTGAAATCAAAAGACAGAAGCAAGGATGTTCGAAGATATATTTGATAGGCTATCAATATATCAAGGATCAACTGATTTAATCTGGCTAGCGATTGCAAAGAATGTTGGACACGGCGTTTCCACTCGTGATCTGGTGCGGATGAATGACCGAGCTCCTTCAGCTAGGTGAGTCCAATTTCGGAGACTTATGAGCTATTTATTTTGGGGAATTATTTACCGCTACTGATCACTCCTCTCCCAGTGGAGTAATGATGACTCTAAGACGTGGCCAACCAGAAGCTTAAACCCAACGAGTTTGTCGCTGGTAAACAATCTCCTGAAATTTCACTAGTTGAAATCATTAGTCAATTGAAGCCAGGCCACCATGGAAAACCTGGAAGCACTGGACCGCTTGCTAGGTTTAGCAGCCTCTTGTCGTCTTTCCTTACTATAAGGGAAATATAATGAAATTTTTGGTTCCTCGTTAAGTTCGTCGTTTTTTTGTTTTTTTCAGCCGTACTGGTAAAGAAGAAAATATGTAAGTGCATAAAGAAATATACTTGTACGCGCGTAAAAACACAGAGTGAGCGAAAAAAGTAAAATAAACTCTTGCACATGTGTTAGCGTAAAGAAGGACTTTTAACATATTAAAAATGTTTTTAATTTTATATATAATACAAAGCAAAATCGAGATGATATAAGATGTCTAGTATCTTACTCTTCTTCCAGAACGCGTCGTTTTAAGTTTATTTCCGGATACTGCCGAAGTATCATCATGCATGTTGGCTGTCGAATTAGGTATAATAAGTGTAGGAACCGTATCATTCGATTGTACCGAAGGAAAATATACGTGAATAGGGTTTTTTTGTAAATACGCTGCTTTGCGGCGATCGGTGCGGATGCTATGGCTGGTTCCGTTTTTATCGACAATATAGTACTTGAGTTCGCGTTGAAGAACTATGAAGGGTCCTTCGTATATTAATTCAGCAGCTCGTCGATGTTAGTCTCGATGTAGGAAGACATGCGTACTATATCTTAAGTCAAGTTGAACGAAAACATTAGTTGATTGCGGTCGACTTGAAACAGGTTTAACTGAACTCAATGCGCTTGTAAGCCTCAGTTTTTTATATTACCATAAAACCTCATCACGACATCCTTTATTTCTTTCTCGCGTTTTGATTGATTTATAGCTTTATCGAACGCAAACCATTTGGTCTGTGCTAAGGCGTCCGAAAATGTATATATAATCTAAAAACTTGATAAAATATAAGAAACCAACCCAAGATAGAAAAAAGAATCTAAGAAGCAACAAAAATCGTATAACGACCTCAATATCAATTAATAGCTGACAGGTTACCAGTCACAAAGGATTGCAGGAAACCAATAAATTGTGCTTCACAAATATGGGTGAATTGAAATAATTGCACCCGCCATTTATGTTTGCTGGTCAGTAACGCCACTCTCCCTTCTTTTCGACATTAGGCTTTTTCACGGTAGTGGTTGGATTGCAGTTGTCTTACCTCCGAGCTCTATGTTTCACACCGTGTTAGAAAGCACAAATTCTGCAGGTACCTAGGACCGTTATGTCAGGTAGTTGAAGCTAATAGATCGTTGTTAGAAAACCGAAAACGGTAATGCATGGCAACGCAGGATAAAGTGTGTGTTTCGAAACAAAATACGTCAGCAGAAACAAATTAATAGGTTGAAGAGATATGGAATTTATTATTTCTAAGTCAATGAGCTGCTGTTTGAATTTAAATGATAGGACTATTACATATATGAAAAAGAATGAAAATTGATGTTCAGTAAATAAGAAAGATCTAGAACTGCGAGAAGTGCTTGCTGAATTGTTGGCAAATAATATCAGGGTCGTCAACGTTTCCGTTAATTATGATGAATTTAGTCGTGCCAAGAGAATTTGACTTCACACGAGATTTATAAAGCCGAAGTACTGATAATTCTTGGCTTTTGCTACCTAGTGCTTTATTTTCTATATTCATAAAATACTTGCGTTTAGATGAAGCATTTCTGTCGATGAATTTAAGTATACCCTGAAGTGCATACACGTCATTGTGCTCGAAGTAGCGGCGTTTTAATTTACTCAGCTTTCTTTTAAAAGTATTCTGGCTCATATTAGCATTATAAGCCACAGGGTCAATAACAGGAGCAGTTCAGTCAAGGCAATATATCAGGTAGTGGTAGAGATTGGAAAGCGCAATGTCAACATTATTTGTGGTAAAATAAGTTTCCCATGGTAAACCTTGAATGAGAGTTTCAGTCCGTTTCCAGGTTTGTTGATCAAAATGTTTGCTCTGGTACATCATTGAAGCTTTGGAGTTCTTATCTTTGTTCCACTACAAACTGTTAAGTATTATTGAGGGTTTAAATTCAGATGCCTTGTTGATTCTTCCTTTCTCTTTTTCAGCATCACATTCAGTGCACGGCAATGGAGCTTCTTACGAATGAAACAAACTTAATGTACGCGTTTTTCAAGACTAAAACTTACACCAAGTACCCCATAAATGTGCATCATAACTAAAAACATCTTAAACACTTTTATGGCATAAATACTTATCTGGACCAGAATTCTAACACAATAATGCTGAGTTTGGACCTGATGTGTAACGTGAACGCGATGCCATTTTGGAAAAATGATATAGAACTGCGATTGTAGTGCCATCCTAAAACATTACCTAGTCATCAACTTTCTGAAACATCACTGATTTCATTTATTTACAATCTTACTTAAGAAGCACACTGTATGCAAAACAATGTTGTAAGTTATAGATCATGCCTGTAAAAATGTCGTGTACCTGTTATGGCAGAAATACATAACATTACTTTACATGTAAGTGAATAACACTATCCTTATAGGAATCTGTTGAGAAGAGAGTTACACAAGGGCGAATTACGGGCATTTTCCTTTGTTACTCTGAATAAGTGATCGACCTTAAGTTACAAAATCTTTTCTGTTTCCAATGGTTTACATAAAGATATGATGACTCACTTAAGGTATGACTGATAAGATACTTTTTGCAGAATATGAGAATAAGGAACCAGTATAAGGCCAGTATAGGCCACTTTAAGTGAGTTCTAACAAAATTATAGTAAATTAAATTGGTCGTGTTGGTTAACATAACTGCATAACAAAGTGGAGCGACGTCACAGAAAATGACTATATATAAAGAGTTAAGTCATACTTAAGAAAAACCAAAACAAAAGGTTGCTCTAAGGCTGTTATCACCAAATAAATATGGTTTTTTTGGGCTATTCATGATTCATTTCGAAACTTAGAAGTAGAACGGTTTAGCATATGCGAATGCGAGGCCACACTTAGTGTATCAGATACAAGCAATGAGTCTTGTTTCCAGTATAAAATAGATATGCTTCAGACTTTTATTGTTCTATTGTCTGAGGTGGACTGAAGTGGAGGCTTATTCTTCTCAAGGTCATCAACTTCAAACAGATGGCAGATATAGCCTTCGATCATATAACTCAGGAGGTTAGGGGTACTGTATATCCGGGTAAGCTTCGACTCAAAGAAGATGAGTTTATGTATAAAAACGAAAAGACTGGAAAGGTGGATCACTTCTCTCGGTCAGATATAGAGTCAGCCCAATGGATAGTCCGTGCTACTGGTTTAGGATTAAGCATAAAGTTAAAAAATAACTCTTTGCATCGGTATGATGGTTTTGGTGAAATCGAAGCGGAAAAGGTCGGGAGCTTTTTCAAGAAGTATTTTGACGTTGAAATTGTAAAGCGTGAACTGTGCTACAAAGGCTACAATTGGGGAGACGTGGATTTCGATGGTAATTCAAACTTGCATTATCTACTGATTAAGGCGATGTTCTCGAGTTTTCAGTTAAAAACGCCATGGCTTTTGAGGTTCCTTTAAGCAATGTTGCAAATGCTGTTTTGAACAAAAACGAGATTATTTTCGAATTTCACCTAAATGATGAAGCTGAAGTTTGCTTATCTGAAATGCGTCTGTACACTCCGGGAACTGAAGCTGATAGGGAAGGCAAAGCCCCTTCTATATATTCCAAGGTTACTCAAAAGGCAGATATTATTCAGGTAAGCTAATTATTTACTTTATCACGACAATTAAGGTTACGGGAGATTTCTTGGTCGAATTCAAACAGTTGCAGTGTCTTCAACCTCGTGGCCGTTATGATGTTAAATTATATCCAAGTTTTATCCATTTGCATGGCAAGTCTTACGACTTTAAAGTCCCAAAGAATACTATTACTCGGTTGATGGTGCTTCCTCATCCCGATAATCGGCAGATATTCTTTGCAGTTCAACTTGATCCACCGATCAAACATGGTCAAACCAGATATCATTTTGTGATTTCCCTTTTCGACAAGGATGCGCACATAAACTTGGAAATGGCTGCGACAGAAGACTGGCTTCAGGAGCAGTTCAATGGAAAATTAACTCGAAATATTTCAGGACCTGAATATGAAGTTGTAGCTCGCGTGTTCAAGGTGAGTTTGCCTTGGTGTTCTCAATTCCTAGAAATCTCTTTCACTGCCATCGGAAAGTCCCGTGTACTTATTAGGTTCTGCTTGAAAATATCCTTGAACTAACAGTTCTTGAATATGATTACTGGTTTTCCTAGGTATCTGGAGTACATGCTTATGAATTGAAACACTTAGGTAGCGAGAATTTATGTGAGGATTTGAAATTGATATCAATTTGCATAAAATCAACCCGAGTTCCTTCGTACTGAATTCTTTGCTGGGAAAAGCCTTTATACACGTGGGTTAGCCGAATATGTCCTTATGACACAGATGACGAACTACTTCAACTTCTATTGCTACTCATGAGGAGTGGCTATCCACCCAAATCCGTTGACACAGATTGGATCCTGGAAAAGCACAGATTGTTCAAGATAAAACTGCGAATGTCGAATTTAAAGGAAATACGGTTGCCAAAATCCTAAGTAAACGGATTTCAAAACCCATGAATAAAGCCTATCCAGCTAGGCCTTGTGCTGTCTTTTCAAGCCGACCTATCATTTACGGATGTTTTAAAGCTAACCCTCCGCTTCTAACCACATCGATGTGTATCTATGCTCTTGTAAGGCAGGTTACATTGGTCGCACAAAGCAATCACTTTCCAGATGCAACTTAAAAGGGGAGTCCAAAGCTGTCACTAACTCAGTACAGCAGCACCTAACTAACTCTGGACACGTTGCTTCACAGAAGCTGTCCTTTAGTGTAATCTATATAGTCAAAAGAATTGGATCTCAGGAAGTTTGAATCAAAAACGCATGCACTGTCAAGGCTTTGGCGATCCACCAATTCAAGCTCGATCTCTGTGTGCAAAAGCTACACGTCCTACCTCCCATCCTTCCTCGCCCTTAATTCCCTTCTCCATGATGTCATTCCTAGTACTTTAGATCAGTCTTAACCTGGCTCTGTTCAGTGAGACGACTGTGCCCTTGGATTGTTTGCTAGAGGATGTGATTAATTAGTTTGATAACTCCTAAAGGGTCTGTACTAAACACCTCAGGGAAATCAAGGACATACAACCAACTTTCCATTTTTCTATTGCAACAGTGGTGTTAAAAAGGGTTGCCTAATCTCACCATTTTTCCTTAACTGTTCCATCAATGAAATTCTTTATTTACCTGTGAAACAAGTAAATAACGTCAGTGGCTTACTGTGCGGTGGTACTAAGGCTATCCAGATCGAACTTGATCAGTTGACAACTAATTTCCGCAAGTAAATCATGTACCTCGCCCCTTTGAAGTTCAAGGTACCGCTCCAAGAATGCCAAGTGCTTGTGTATATGTTCAATAACTGTGGCCAACCGTTAGTAATAGTAAAATAGTTTGCATAAGTGCTAGTAATGGAATTTCAGATGAGACCACTCTATGTATTTTGTAAGCCAGAGCGATTAGTTCCAATCCGAGCCATCTTCGATACCTTCACAATACTACTTTGGTTGTAAAAGGTTGAGTGAGAACAGTTCTAATATGTGCTTGTGAAATCTAACTCCGAGTTGCAAATATGCAGCGGTTGTCAATATTTCCGAAGGATTGCTAACATTCAGTGACAATATCATATTAATGACCTTAGGGTTTGACAATGTATGTTCGCTAAAGTGTCAGTAGTTCAATCAATTTTGACATCTTGAAACATCAACTTCGGGAGTTTAGTAATAGTTTATGAATGTCATCTCAGCGGTTCACACATTATGCATTATTCGTTGACGCTGAGATTAGTTGACAAAGGCAAAGTGGTAGTCGGCTTATGGTAGCGTTATTGTACGAGGCAGCTAAACAGGACTGGTGTCTGCCAGTCCATCACCACTTCTTAGTTGGGATCCTAGACACAATTTTACTCAGTGGCCTGAGACGTTATCAGACACTACACAGTGCAAAATCCACTTGGGATCCAGATGTAATTTCCTTTTGGGTTCATAAAAATATGAGGAATTCCCCTAAATAAAAGAAGTCTGTCATAGTTGTATTTTTAATTGAACTATACCTCTTAATAAATGGTAATTTGTTCCATGCCATTGACATTGATTTTACTAGCATTCCCTTTATTTCTTCGCGATATTATCACTATTCATGTGGCCCATACCTTTTTACTGCCCTATTTATCAGGATTTTTACGCTGTAAATAAACAAATGAAAACAATGGCAATGATGTAGTAACTCAACTATCGGCTTTAAAATTATGTCTTTAGATTCTACTTTACTCAAATTTAGTAGGATGGATATTTTTCTCCATTAACCAGTCAGCATTTCTTAGTTTCTTAAGCGCTTGGATGTTTGTGGTTACTCTGGTTTGATTTTCCCCACTTTTCGCCCTGTAGTTTTACTGGATTGTCCCCCTGCTTTTCTGCTAACTTTTTGAACAGTTAACTGATTTCACCTAAAGTTCCATTATTATAGTCTTTGAAATCGACGCATCTCAGACTCAAAAGGAAGGAGCTATATGGCAATTAAGTCAAATGTAGAGTGTGGTGCTATATAGAGAACCAGTGACTCAGTTCCAAACAGTTACAGTTAATAGTAAGTGATTATATTATCAGTTAGCCCAATATTAAAGTGGGTCTCATATTAATTCAGACAACCATTTGTTAGCGTTAAAAATGTAAAACAATAATGTATAAAGCCAACATAGTTTTACGAAGTTTGGTGGAATGTTCGATACATGTCACATATAGTACACATATTTTTGAGTTGTAGCTTTCTATCTCAGCGTTTTACCTCATGTTTTTTTCTTTTGATTATCTCATTATACACAGGTTCTATTTGATCAGAAAGTTACAGTCCCAGGAAGCTTCTCTGCAAAAGGCGGTGGTTGTGCAGTTGCATGCAGTTATAAAGCGTCTGTTGGTTTGTTGTATCCATTAGAGAGAGGTTTTACATTCGTTCCTCGTCCTCCAATTTCTATACGTTTCGATGAAATAGTAGCTGTACAATTTTCCCGTGGGACGGGTGCTCAAAGGTCTTTTGATTTTGAGGTACGTTGACTATCATATTCAAATCCAGTTGTTTGGCCAGTTAAAAAAACAACAGATAGTCTGCTTCGATATTTGTTAGAATATATATATGACAGAATTTAAATGTAGGAATTATTTTTTACTTGAAAAACATTTGGTCAACCTAATGCGCAAACTTCTCAGGGCGGGTTGTTATCAATATTATTTCACGTACAACAACATGCACAAAACACGAGATACCTTCCATAGGTATCCAAACATACATAGCTAATTGAGTTGTCATTATATCATTACACCACCATACTTTTCGACAGTCAATAATTTACTAACCTCAAAATAGTTCTCTTATTTGAATGCTAAAAGTAACTTGTCATTCGGTCAATCAGTCAGCTACAACGTAGAAACAGGCACATATGTGCATCGGTCCACGTTGCCATACCTCAATAGCACAACAAGATGAACACCAAATTGATATGAGTAGTCACTTCAATAGTGGTAATGTGTAAAAGAAAGATTGCATATAAGGACATAGTACGGGAAGAAAGAATTAGTTCGTAGAAAGAAAGATACGAAGCGATTTTAATTTCATAGTTTAAAGGAAGACAAAGTGTATACACCTTCTCGATTGTGATCGGTTCTAGGCCATGTCACCTAGTTTCCAACCATTGGTTATGATAGTCACGCGGACCCCAACCAAGTAGTCTGCATCTACCAACATGGCTCAGACTAGAAGTTAGTGACTTCAAGCACTAATGCCACGTTTTGGTTTGACTGCACCTAATTTTCTCCCAACCGTCCCCAACACTAATCTTCCTTGGTTACATTAGTGGGTATTATTGTCACAATATTGTGTGTCGGTTGAGATTCTATCGAGTTCATCATAAATCTCATAGGTCTAATTGTTCTTTAACTAGCAATTACCGTAGACCCTTAACGAATTCAATCTAAAGATATAAAAATGCTTTTATATTCTGCTGTGTTGACTTTCTTATCTATGATTACTAAACTTCGAGTATATCACTAAACCTAATCGAACGTTTTAGGAAAGAAAATGGTTAGTTTGCGAAAATTATCCGTACAATCAACCAAGTAGTTTATCCGAAAGTTGGTTTTGATCCATTCTTCGAAAACGTGTCTCATTAAAAGAATCGATTTAATCAAGATATTTCACTAGTGTTTAATTTTTATGTTTCTTCAAAAAAATCAAAGGTCTTGATATACTTTTTCCATTTATAGGTGGAAACTCGTAATGGTTTAACGCATACATTCACTTCTATCGAAAGAGATGAATATCATCATTTGTACGATTTTGTAACTGCTAAAAAACTTCGTGTTAAAAATATCAGTTCAGAAAACAAAACTACTAATCCTGGTGATGACGTTTGGTCATCATCTGATGAATCACATGATGCTTACATGGAGAAGGTAAAGACAGAAGCTCGAGAACGAACAACTGAAATGGATGATGAAGATGACGACGATGAAGATGATGAAGATTTCAAACCACCGGAATCTGATGGTTCTGAACTTGCAGAAGAATATGATAGTAATGTTCAAACAACAACAAGTGAAGATGAATCTGGAGACAACGATGATGATGATGATTCGGAGGAGAACAAAAGTAACACTAGTAGTAAGAATACTACTACACACAAGAAAAAAGATAAACGAGACAATGATAGTGATGGATATGAAGACAGCTTGTCAAGTGTCAGCAGTACTAGTGAACCTAAACCAAAACAAAAAAAATTGAAAGAAGAACCAAAGAAATCAACAACTAAACCCCGTAAAGATGAAGCAAAACGACAAACAACAAAAAAGCAAAAAAAACCTAAAGATCCTAATGCACCAACTCGTCCACTTTCTGCTTATTTCTTATGGTTTAATGAGAATAGAGAGAAAATTGCAAAAAGTTTAGATGGACAAAATTCTGTTGCTGAAGTAGCTAAAGCTGCTGGAGAGATTTGGCGAAATATGGATAGTACAGTAAAATCAGGTTATCAATCAAGAGTTGATGAATTAAAAAAGAAATATCAAGAAGATTTACGTATATATCAATCAAATTTAGCGTCTTCTAAAGAACCAGATTTATCACCAGATTCTAGTAGTTAAGTCCAGAAATAATTAATTAATTCTTGTGAAATAAAATATCAACTTATTATTGTTTTAATATACTATGTACACTATATATATATATTCACTATTTCTTATTATTTTGTTATTAGACTGAATTAATCAATTTCCTTTATGTTTTATATAGAGATATCGCGGTACTGTCCATAAAATAATTGACAATCATTTGGTTATATTGGATACAGAGCCTGATACTGTTGTTACGGAAAAAAATGTTTTTTGTATACTCAGCATACAATAGGATAATACTATGACTTGAAACGTTATATCCAACTATAGAATTCACGATCTATAACTGAAAATTAGCTAACAGACCAGAAAATCATCTTTTTAAAATAGATGCTAGCAATTCACACAGAGTTTAGTCCACAGTTAAGTCAGTAGAACTAAATCATAGAAAGGAATCCACAACACTTGATAGTATCACAACATTTAGAAAAAGTCGGTGGCTTTTGTTTTCATTTAGTGCCCAGTCACATCTTACTTTCGCTGGTCACACATCAGGTAAAAATCGTACGTCTCCCAAAAACACCAAATAAGATCAGCATAGTAAAAACAAATTACCAAGATGATTAGCGAAGTAGTCGAAATAATATACCACCAATAATAGTGAGCAGGACTAAATAGTAAAGAATAGAGTTCAAAAACTAACAATAAAAACGTGTGCATGAACGAATACTGGGACTTAATATTTAGAGGGACATAGAAGTAAATGCATCTATTGCACTGAACAATGTCATACGACGTTTCCAACTACCGACTGCGCCCAAACCAGCTGGTCTACATCTACTAACATGACTTCAATAGTTAATGAGTGCATGGATTGATGCTACGTCTCGGTTTGGCCATTCCCAGTTTCTTTTTACCCTACTCCTACCCCGGTTAATAACGCTCCTCAAGGTAGGATTTAGTTGAGTGTACATAACACGCAGTGACTCACAACCTCACCAGTCGATCTACCATACGCTGGTAGACTTATAAAAAAATAATAGAATTATCTCTTGTAAAAACTGAATAAACTCCTATTTTCTTTTGGCCTATATCTTATTCCCATACCTTGCGATTAGTGGGTGAGTGAAATGGCACAGAGCTCGTTGTAAATGCATTCATTCTTTATCTTCCTCTGAACAGTGTCGGTATCCGTTCCTACATACGTTTTCATTATTACTTCTCAGACCGTGTTCTTCACTTGCTCACTTTAATTGATACTCCTACTATTGTTGTAACTCAGAGAATGTTAGGAAAGTGGTGACTTTTGGAACTACTTCCCGGATAATTTTTATCTAGATTTTTATTTTACAATTATTAAATAACTGTCATTTTATTTCTGCACTCCCCGTATCGTAAACTCCCGTTGGACTCATCACATATTGCTATACATTTTACTATCCCTTAATTACTGTGAGTTAATTATTCACCTTTGTTCCGTTCTCCGCCAGTTATGTATAAACTACAACTTCCCATTTGATTTGTATGGTGCTCTGATTATTCATGAGTGCTTAGGTTAATGACTGATTGACTTAACAAGGATAGGAGCTTGTCTGTTGCTATGTTCTTTTGTGGACTGAATACTTGGACCGGGACGAGTTAAATTATCTCGGCCACAGCCCAAGGTTAATCACTCAATCAAGGCGTCTTTGGCCATCCAGATTCAGAACAATAAATGGTATCTGTAATTCATTTAAGAAAACTAAAGCATTCTGGTGATTATCTCGATTTCATTTCTATTCACATTGTTAGTTTCTTCTCGCTGTAGTGATATGGTAAGGCAATTTGAGCTGGAGCATATTTATGCCAGACTCTATGTTGAATATGAATAACTGTAATCGTTAGGAATATAAATCTAGGTAATGGATATTTTATTGATGGGTGAAAATCTGTAGATAACTAAATATTTCCACATAAATCAACTTTACGAAAAAATTCATTGTCGAAGTAGCTTCTATTTGGAGGGTTTGTCAATCTAGCTTCGAAATAACATTTTTTTAAAGCTTTTGTGTATTTGAAAAAGAATTTCGGTTTCTATATAGTTGATACGGTCGATAGTAGGGTAGATATACGGAATCTTAATTATATGCCAAGCTTGATCAATGGTTGAAAGCTATAGATGAGATGGATCAGAATTGATCTCACTGGTGTACAATTTATAACTTTCTAATCAAGAGATGATAACATAAACGAGCAACATATTATTCATTAATCAACAGCAGTAAAATCAATGGTTTGTACAGTTTATATTCTCTGTGGAAAAAACAGAACGTTAATTTTTACGATTAAATCGTCGTGTAGATTAACTTTCACATTTCAAAAGATTATGTATAACACTTAAGTATCAATATTTTAAACTTGGCAAAAGTTACCCACTATTCAAAGGAACTGTTAGCGGGCATAGACTGGATTAAAGCATGCTGAATTCACGATTGCTTTGGTGCACGCTGATTGGCTAATTTTTATCCAATCAGCACTAGTCGATACTTGAAGAATACTCTAGAATCTTCTCATGTAAAAACTATAAGTATACTAACGGTTTCCCTATTGTGCTTGCTTGCCTCTAATTTCCATCTAACCTTGTTATATAGAATATAATCTTCCTGTTCAACCGTGTTCTGATTTGGGGATTTATCGAGTGAATCGGTGTCCAAAAATACTAAGCAATAGGAATAGCTGGGTTATAACCGTAAGAGAGAAATATAACAGGAACTAAATAATTCCATCCTGAATTTCTGATTACTCAATAAAAAAAGTCTTGATATGTTTAGCTTATCTTTGAAAATACATTTTTATTATTGCACATGTAGTCAAATATTAATTCAACTGACTGAAAGATACTTCAAGAATAAATCAGTCAGATAACTAAATAATATTGAAAATAGAAGAAAAATAACACAGTTGTCTTTATGGTAAAATAACCATTGAATACTAACTAATACTAACATAATCATTCAAATAAATAACATGTATCAAAATTAAAACAACAGATGACGTAACATCTTTCCTTTCACCACCACCACCCGCAGTCATATACACAAAGTCAACAAAAATCAGATTGGTCATTGAAACCAAAAGAAGAAACGCGGGAAATATTCAACACACTGTACAAATTATTTAAGACCATACATTGTGAATAATAAATTGTCATATATAAAGAAGAACATATTACAGACAATACTTTCCATATATTGAACAGATAATTGAAATAAGATGGATTGTGAGGAGAATTAATTGACCGATTGATAATGATGTTAAATAGGCTAAATTGACTTATAACGTATACAACATAATAAGTAATATTGAAAGAAGATTAAAATAAAAAAAAACATATGTCATTCTATACAATGGATCTATAATATGAGTTATTTAGGGAGTAAATTATAACAGAATATATGAAATCATATTGATCACAGTTAATATAGACTATTTTTTGTTCAAATAATGATAAATTTAATTGTATATAACAATACAATCCAAGAAATCAGATCAAAACGATTCGATTGCAAATAGACCCTGAGAGTTATTCATGAACACGTAAGTAATACGTTTCATATCATTTAGTTCTTAAGTTATCTATAGGGTTTATACATGTCATAATGTAGTCAAAGGAAGTTCTTTCCATAATAGTTAGAATATTAGTAAGTAATATATTATAATAAATACTAGACAAAGTCAAATCAGGGAATGACAGTGAAGAGAGTAAGCAGAATAAACAGATAATGAGACTGTATCTGGAGAACTACGAAAGCCATCATCCAGAAAATACAGGTGTTTATTAACAGTTGTCTACGCAAAATAATTCGGATCCGTTGGCCGGACACTATTAGCAACAACCAACTGTGAGAAAAAACAAACCACATCCCAACGGAGGAAGAAATTAGGAAGAAGCGCTGCAAGTGGATAGGACACACATTGAAGAAAGCACCCAACTGCATCACAAGACAAGCCCTCACATTGAATCCTCAAGGTCAAAGGAAAATAGGAAGACCAAAGAACACATTACGGCGAGAAATGGGGATAGACATGAGAAAAGTGAACAAGAATTGTATAGAACTAGAAAAGAAGGCCCAGGACGGAGTGGGTTGGAGAATGCTGGTCGGCGGCATATGCTCCATTAGGAGTAACAGGCGTAAGTAAGTAAATGGATAATTAATCTACAGTCAACAGCAAAACTGTGAACAGATTTTAAATATTCCTCTAATTAATATAAATGTATATAATAAAACTTTATCACTAAACACATGTACATTGGATGAATTTCATACTTTCTCGACATAAACAAGAAGTAGAATCTTTAAGAAAAACAATCTTCCTAAGCAAATATTCTTTTCGTTAGTAAAGTATACATTTTATCTATACAGATGATTTATGCGAACGACATATTCGTCCACATTTTAATGGGCATAAATCTTTTTCATAAATGGCTTCCCAATGTGCATGATATGGTCGAAATAATTGACAAAGAAATGCTTCTAATACTGTATGTACGAATCTACGATTGAAACGTTCTTCTTGAAGCATATTAAATACACAGGATACACCACGGCGAGTAGTTTCATTACCAAGAAATTGTGCAAATTCCTCTAGAAAAATTATAATATTAATGAATTAGAAATATAGTAGTAAAATGATTGAAAATGAAAATTACATTGAGTCACAAATCAACTGTAATTGAAATCTAACTAAATCAATGGTATTATGCTTGAGATAAAGCTTAAATATCTTAAGTTAGATTATGCATGAAGTAGAGAATGTAAACACAACAGACTATTTAACATACTCCAGTTTTCAATGATTCTACGGATGATGCAAGTGGATTTTGAAATTTTATAGAACAATTCAAAATGTGAGATTTAACACATGATAATGTACATTAGAGAATGTTGGATATTTATACCTGAAGGCTGATAAACAGAAGCCGTTTTTAATCATGAATAAGGTTATCACGAACCTTGTTAAAGGTGATGTATGGGCAATCTCTACTTCTC